CGGTGTGAGTTTCCTGTTCTTTCCCGTGGCGGCAGCTGTCTTTAGGTTTTTTTTCCATCGCAAAGGTGAGGCCCTGGGAGCTGGACGCTGGGGCCACAAGCTTCGCAGCCACTGGTTTCTGCTGGCCCGCGCTTCCCTCGTCCTCGTGGCCACGCGTGACCTGATGGCCACGTCTTCACTTTAAAGAGGCTATTAGGGCCCGGCAAGTGTCTGCCAATGGTTAGCGCGCCAGCCCACGCACGGGAGGGTCGCGGGTTCCATTCCAGTCAAGGGTACACACCTGGTTGCAGGGTCAAACCCCGCCCCAGTCGGGTGCATGTGGGAGGCAACCAGTCCAGCGTCTCTCACATGGATGTTTCTCCCTCGCCCCGTCCTCTCCACCCGCTCTAAGAACCAATGGGAGAAACAGCCCCTCTCCGCAGGAGGATTGTCTAAAAAGCAAACGCCATTGAATCTATTCCAATGAAGTGGGTCCCTGAGACCCTCTGGCTCTTCCAGTCTCACACAACAAGAAATGGGGGGACCGATGCCGCTGGGCTGCTCTGAAGCGCGCAGCCCACGCAGGGGTCCAGCAGGGCTGTGGCTCTGGCGAGGAGCCTGGGGCTGTGTGTGTGTGTGGGGGGGGCTGTTTACTAAGCACCCCCAGGACACATCTTATTCCCCCCCCTTCCCCTCCCCTCCCCCGTCACACACACCCAAGCCGAGCACTGAGCATCTCCCTCCCAGGGTTTCTGGGGCGGTTCCCGGGCCGGCTCTGAGGGGACACTGCTCCACGCGTCTGTCTGCCGCCCTGGCAGCCGGGGGGGCTGGTCCCAGCGGGGCTCTCGGGTGCTGACACGGGTGGGGCCGGGCCTGTCTGGGCCTCGTGGTTCCCCAGAGGCAGTTCAGCCAGCAGCCATGGGGTCGGGGAAAATGGGACAAAGTGAGTCGCCCTCTGTGCTGGGGGAGAGAAGGGCGCCTGCTGTCCAGCCTGTGCTGGGGGCTCGGGGGCTGCAGCAGGAGCCTCGCCTCTCTGGTTGCTGCGCTAACGTGCGGAGGGGGACGTGGGCGCTGTGCGCGGGAGGAGCGGCCGGCCGGTGGGCACAGGGCCGGTGGGCGGAGGAAACGCTCTGGGGTTAGAAAGTGGTGATGGTTACGTAACCTTGTGGACGTACGAAACCTACTGAAGCTACACTTTAAGGAGTGAATCCTGTAATGGGAATGACATCCCAATTTTTAAAATCATTGAATCAGCCAGACATCATCTCTGGGGAAAACATTAAAATGAAGCTGCGGACACGAGGTGCCCCTGTGTCGGAGGGCGATGGTCAGTGAAGCTGTGAACGCCGCCCCCGCAGCCCCGGGGAAAGCGAGTCTCAGGGCCACACGGGGCCTGGATGGAAGCGCCCCGCCGGCCCAGCGCCCTCTCCTAACCACCCGGAGAGTCTGTGCAAGCAACCCCCGGGCCTGTGACTGAACAAGCCGACCAGGCCCCTGCCTCAGCCAAACCCGCGCCCTCGCCCTTTCTCGGGGACCGGGTCCCTGGCATGAGCGTCAGCACAGCGATAGGGACGTTCCCGCTGCCGTTGGGCGCGCTCCACCCTGACCAGCGGTATCATTTGTACAACTTCTCTGCCTCCTCCCTCCAAGCCCCCCCATTCTGTTGCTGGGACCCCCTTTATCGCAGGCATCTGCCGCCCTCCTCTCTGCGGTTGTCTCGGGTCAGATCAGAGGCCACCAGGCTGAGCGGCCGGGGTGACATCATGGGTCCTGCAGGGAGCTTTGCCCATGACCCCCTCGCAATCCGGAAACACAGGGATGCCTGACTTCTTCCTAGTATCAGCTTTTTCCTTTTTGATGTTTAAAACTAAAGGGAGTACAATTTATTTTTAGTGAAAGCTTCTAATCTAAACCCTCCTTTTGGTCATGAGAAGGCCTGGCGAGACCGTGAGGCCTGCGTGGAGGCCCTGCCCGCAGCCCTTGTGCTGCCCGCCCCTCGCTGGCGCCGGCCTGCAGCTCAGCCTGGAGCCAGGCCTCACCCACGCGTTCTCCCAGCATTCCTCATGCAGTTGTTATTCACTTAGAAGAGCTTGAGGTTTAAAAGCCAGCCAGCACTTTCCACTTAGAACACGTAGGTATAAACTTTCCTATGAAACTGCTCCACTGAGATTAGAAGTTGTCTGTAACATAAACCAGGCCCGCCCAGCATGTGGTCAGACAGCTTGGTGTTTGCACATGTTCTGCCCGTCAGCGTCTTTCACACACAGGCTGCGGGCTGGGAGCACTGGTCTCCTGCTGGAGCAGCTCCATCTTTGTCCCCACAGGACCTGTCCCCAGATCCCTGGGCCTCAGGGAGACCCCATTCTTTCCGCGCCCCCCTTTTCTGGCCCCTGCCCCTGCCCCTTCTTGGGGTCCTCAGGCTTCCAGACCAAGCACCTCCCTGTCCCTCCAGGAGGCTCAGAGCGGCCCCACAGCTGGGCCTGGGTCTGGGCACAGCTTAGGTGCCCATTTCTGCACCAGGAGGTGTCTTTCCAAAGCAGGCCCTGTGAGCTGGGACTCCCTGTGGGGCCTGCTCACCACACCCCGACTGCAGTTTGTCCCTGCAGACACCCAGGCAGTCCCTCTGTGGGGACAGCACAGCACTATTGTGCTGGTGGCCGGAGAGTCAGCCTCACCATCGTGTTAATTCCAACAGTCACAGGAAGCAGGGATACAGGCTGCTCTTCCCACTCACAGCTGCTGCCTCCTTGGCCCGCCCTGTCCCAAAGGGCTTGGGCCAGCTGCAAACAGCAGGCAGCAGCCACTGCCCGGCTAGGAGTTGACAGGAGAGTCTGTGAGCCTGGAGATGGGGGAGGCCCACGCCACCTTCCTGTTTGAGAGAGAACACTTTTCACTTTAAAATGGGACACAGCCTCACTGGGAAGCTGCTGACTTGCAGACCACACTTCCCGCAGTCTCGTTACCCAGAACAGCCGGCCCCATGCCTGGGGAGACAGATAGGCCTGAGGGAGACCGGGTGGCCCTGCCTCGCAGGAGCCGTGTGCCCACGGTTACTGCCGTGCGGGGAGGGCAAGGGGCTAGCCAGTGTGACGGGGTGGGGGTGTCCACTGTGTGGGCAGCCAGCCCACAGGCCTTAGTGTGAAAGGCTTTTAAAGCTGAGAGAAAAGCAGTCGTCTTACAGCGAGGAAGCCGCAGGGAACACTGCCCTGTGGTGTCAGGGGCAGAGTCATCATGGGGAGTCGGGCGCTGCTGTCAGGGTCCCCCAGGGCCGCCTGCCTGTCCTCCGCAGGACAGGCAGAGGGGCTGCCTCTGCTCCGAGGATGGGAGGAATCAGAATGAAATTTCTGTAACATGTTCACTTTGGGGGGTTGATAGTGAGGCAGTGTGGAGGTCTCGTGGCTGTGGAAAGATCTAGAACACAGTGCCAGGGAGCACAGAAGGCAGGAGTGCGGGAGCCGTGGCCAGGGCACCTAGATGCCCCGTGCTGGGTGAGGGGCTGGCATGTCAGAAACTTAGGCTTTCGGAGTGGTGAGTCGCCTCACAGGGGTCTCCCGCTTCTTTCCAGTCCCCTGGATCAGCATCCTTGTGCCCCACAGATCGCTCGTGTAAAAATGATAAGGGGGCTTCTAAACCACAGAACCACCATCATTCAGAACTGCCTGAAAGGAAGTCCTACAACTAGGGATTTAAAGGAGCAGCCACATCAAGACTAGTAGGAGAGGCAGAGTCACTGCAGAATGAGCTGGTCCCACACCCATGTGTGGCCAATAAAACTGGGAGGGAAATCTTGGCTATGGAGGTCCCCCTGAGGAACAAGGTGTCCCAGCCCCATACCAGACCCCTCAGCCCAGGGTTCCAGTGCTGGGAAGATTAATCCCTGTAACTCTGGGCTGTAAAAACCAGTGGGGTTTGTGGCTGAGTCACATGAAAGCTGCTGGAGACCTAGGCAGCTCCTCTTAAAGGGCTAGCACAGAGTTACTCGGACTCATTCCCTCTGAGCTCTAGCACTGGGGCAGCAGCTTGAAAGGCCGCAGGGCCATACAGGAGCAACTACATTGTCTGGCATCAGGGAAGGAACTGGGGGGAGGGCAGTTTTCTCCCAGACAGAAGTGCTGGCAGAGGTCACTGTTCCTTTTCTGAGCCCTCCCCCCACAGAGCCAGCAGATGGGTGCTATATCTTAGATTCCATCAATTCCATCAGCCTGGCTCACACTGTTCGCCTCACCATGGAGAATTCCCTGAGGCCCACGCAAGCTGTTTGCAGTGGCTCTTCCATACCAATGAACTCTGTCCTGGCTCAGGCTTCAGACTCAACTAAAATCCTTCAAACAAGCAGCATTTGGTCTCAGCATGCTATGGACTTCTTGCTAAGTGGCCACAGGACTGGTACTAGCAGCAGCCAGCCTTGGTTCACAGCTTGGCTTCTGGGCACATCCAAGCCCAACCCCAGGAGCAGCCATATGCAGATCGCTTTGTAGCTCATGCCAAATGGCCCCAGACAGAACACAGATGGTGTTGATCATGGCCTGGATGCCCTAGGAGGCCCCAGAGTCAGTGCACTCAGTGGATAGCTTCAGACCACATTGAAGCACCGCTCAACCACCTCCACAAGCAACACATTCAAGGGGCAAACTCAGCAAGCACCAGAGCCCTGCTGAAGTAAGTCCTGCTCTGTGGGGTGGGCCCCTGGACAGCTGATCCTGTGGTCTGTGGTCACTGATAGCAGCCATTGGCCTGAAGGTAAATCCCTGCCATTAATGTGCCAACAGCAATCCAGGTTCGACTACAACAGGAGGGTGTACACAGCCCATTGGGTTGGAGGGGAGGCTGTGCCACTGGACCCTACATTAAGTCACTCTACCAAGCCTGGGAGATGTAGCAGCTCTACCTAATACATAGAAACAAACACAGAGAGGCTGCCAAAATGAGGACACAAAGAAACATGTCCCAAATAAAACAACAAACTCCAGGAAAAAAACTAGACAAAATCGAGACAAGTAATCTACTAGAGGCAGAGTTCAAAACACTGGTTACAAGGATGCTCAATGAACTTACAAGTTTAACAGTATTAAAAAGAAGACATGGAAACCATAAAAAAACAAACAAACAAAAAAAACAACAACCAGAAATGAAGGAGGCACTAACTGAAATGAATGACTTACAGGGAGTCAACTGTAAAGCATATAAAGCAGAGAATCAAATCAGCAATTTGGAATATCAGAAAGCAAAAAACTCCCAATCAGAAGAGCAAAAAGAAAAAGAAATCCAAAAACATGAAGATAGTGTAAGAAGACTCTGGGACAACTTCAAGCGTACCAACATTCACATTACAGGGGTGCTGGAAGGAGAGGAGAGGGAGCAAGAAATTGAAAACCTATCTTAAGAAATAATGACAGAAAACTTCCCTAACCTGGTGAAGGAAATAGACTTACAAGTCCATGAAGCGGAGTCCCAAACAAGATGAACCCAAAGAGACCCACACCAAGACACATCATAATTTAGAGGCCAAAGGTTAAAAAGAGAGAATCTTAAAAGCACCAAGAGAAAACCAGTCAGTTACCTATAAGGGAGCTCCCATATGATTATCAGCTGATTTCTCAACAGAAACTTTGTGGTCAGGAGGGAGTGGCAGGAAATATTAAAAGTGATGAAAAGCAAGAACCTACAATCAAGATTACTCTACCCAACAAAGCTATCATTTGGCATCAAAGGACAGATAACGAGCTTCACAGACAAGAAAAAGCTAAAGGAGTTCAACACCACCAAACCAGTATTATATGAAATGTTAAAGGGTCTTGAAGAAGAAGATTTAAAAAATATGAACAATAAAATGGCAATAAATACATATCTATCAACAATTGAATCTAGAAAAAACACACAACAAAATAAATGAACAAGCAGAACAGAAACACAATGATAGATACAGAGAACAGTTTGTTGTGATGGGCTGGGGGCCTGGTGAAAAAGGTGAAAGGATCAAGATGTACAAATTGGCTGTTACAGAATAGCCCCTGAGATGTAACGTTCACATAGTCAATAATATTGTCATAAGTGTGTCAAATGGGTACGTGATTTATTGGGATGATCACTTAGGCATGTGATGTCTAATCACTGGGTGTACACCAGAAACTAATATAATAGTGTCAACTGTAATTGAAAAATAAAAAATGATTTAAAAATACTTAATTTTTCTCCTCCCCCAGGAGAAGTACCCAGCGGCTGTGCAGCTCCCCGAGGGGGCCTCCTCCAGCTGCATGAGCATCCGGAGTGCCAGCCAGCCAGGGTGAGTGCACAGGCCGTGGCGTGGGCTTCCTTGCTCGCCAAGTCCCTTCCCTGCAACCAGATGGTATTTCCTGGTGAAAACAAGGATTACAAATGTAGAGGGCAAATGCGAGCTGCCGACACCTGGAGAAACCTCTGTGGCGCCCTAACAGGAGCACACCCACCCACGGCGGCAGAAGAGGAGGGGCACGTGGGTGAAGAGGGATCCGGGACGGGTCAGCAAGCTCTGAGGGAGGGAGGACCACCTGGCCTTCACTGTGCTGGGCGCCTGGGGCGCGGATCTGCCGGGGTGGGAGGGCCTGGTGACTGGCATGAGTGCCCGCCAAGGTTTGGGTTTGTTTTCAAGCCTCACAATTACGCAGGCTGCTGGGACTCGCCCTGTCGTAAGGGAACGTGTCCATCCCTCACAGCTGGAGCCTGTGGCTAGAGGCCATGTCAGCATGCACTCCGCTGGGCGAATATGTGCATGCCCATGTCCCTTAGAGCATCTGGGTTATTCACTGCTTCCCACCATGTCTAACTTGTCCATGTCCCGGGCCCATGCGGACGCAGCTTCTCTGGGCATATGCCTAGACATGCAATCCTTGGGCCATAGCGTAGACTCAGCTTTCTATTACCACCAGATTCTTTCCAAAGTAGTTTACCAACTTATTTCCCACAGGAAAGTGTAAGTTCCTATTGTTCCACGTCCTGTACTTGTGCTGTCATCCTAGTATTAGTGGGTACAACAGCACCTCCCTGAGGCCTTTCTGGCCACGGCCCAGTTTGTCCAGGACTGACCCTGTGGGTGGGTGAGTGTCTAAGAGGGGGCCAGCTCAGCTCAGCTGGGGCAGGGCCTGCGTTGGGCGGGGCTTCCTTCCTACGGCACAATCACGCTTCAAGGCACCTGGGGGCGGCTCTGACCTCTTTCAGGTTTGAGCTGGTCATCGTCTGGAGGATGCACATAGATGAAGAAGGGAAGGTTTTGCCGAAGCTGGATCTTCTCACCCAAGTGCCACAGCGAGGTAGGCAGGCCAGCGGGCTCTGCAATCTTAGTGCCCAGCAGGGGCACCCACTGATTTCACCTGGTTCACATGGCAACAATCAAAGGCTGAAAATCTCAGTGTACTTTTATGTCATTTTAAAAAATATTCTGATCAATAATCACCCCAAAAGCACCTGTGGAGGCATGCGCCCAGGCCTCCTGGCTGCTGCACAGTGTGGGGAGGGGGTTGTGCCGTGGGCGGGCTGTGCTGACGGCTGACACAGCAGCAACAGGGGAGGTGGGCAGGGTCCCGGCCGGTGTGTTTCTGACCCAGTGTGTTCTCCTTACAGCCCTGGAGCTGGACCGGAAGGGAGCAGTCGCAGCTGCTCCTCTTCACTTCCGGGCCCTGCTGGGCCTGCTGGGCATCGAGGCGGCTCTGGAGAGCCTGCTGAGGCTGCTCTGCGCGGAGGGAAACCCCGGTGCCCACCCAGCACCGCCAGGGGCCTGGGATGTTACTGAATAGAAACCACACCCTCAGCACACGTCTGTGCAGTGGTGACACATGATCTATCAACTGTCAGGTCATGAAAAACACAGACAGCTGTTTAAACACAAAATGAAAAGCCTGACACATGAGGAGCAGCTGTGCCCCCTCCCACCCCCAGTAGGCTCTCCCCTCCCCTCGGCCTCCCGAGCTGGAAAGCCGCTCCCCTCAGCCAGTCCTGACACGCACTCTTCTTGACCCAAAACAGCAAGTCTGCACTTCAACCTGCAGTGGGACAGTGAGACCCACTGTCCCCCACAGGCCTGAGCCGTCCCTCCCCTCCCACGCCCCCTCTGTCCCACCCGTGAGCCCCAGTTCCATGCGCATCCAGCAGGTAGAGTCTAACGCCTCCTGCCCCCACACTAACAGAAGATGGGCAGCACTTGAGTATTTTTCCGACCCTCTGAGTACAGAAGTAAATGTTATGACAGAATTAAAGAATAAATTCTAGAAAAACTGGCGTAATTCAAACAAGTGTAATTCTCAAATTATCACAAAATTTCCCCATAAAATTTACAATCAGCAAAATAGTCTCCTTATATTTCATATAATTCCACGGTTTCACTAACATTATAATATATTACAATGAGCCTTCATTAATCCCTCAAAACGATGCTATAAATAATCAGTCTGTACAACCGATAATGGAGTGAACCTGCCACCAGGACTCGCATGTTCACAGCAGTCTGGCGCCTGGGGAGCCCCACCAAGAGCCCAGGGTGCCAGCAGGGCCACTCCTCTTGCACCAGCGGGCGGCAGCCCTGCAGAGGCGGCCCAGCACCCGAGGGAGGCCCAGGGCAGAGGCACAGGGCTGGCGCCTCCTCACGGTTCAGAGCGGCGTCACTCCGGAAAGAACAGGAAAGGAGTTGATGCTCACGTGATGGTGTTTGCCCAACCTGAGTCCCGTGGCCCCTCTGATCCCACGCAGAATGGTGGCCGTCTGCACTGCGCCCTCACCTGCAGGGGCCACGGGCCTGTGCTGATTGGCGTGTGGCTGGCCACTCAGCTGAGGCAGTTCCAGTAGGATCCCTGTTTTCTTAAAAGGCCAAATTGTAAGATCTACATGACGGTCCGTGTTCCGTGTGCTAAGAGCCTGGTGGTAGGAGATCCAAACCTTGGGTCTTACAAACAGGCGTTTGCATTAGAGGTTAGACATGAGCCTTGGGTAAGAAGGAAGCTGCCCGAGGTGCCAGGACACAATGCACAGCCCCCCTGGCCCGCCTGCCCTGGGAGGGGCCTCCTTCCTGCATCCCAGCAGCAGCCCCGAACAGTGGTTAGAAAGCAACAACATTCACAGCCAGTCACCCACCACAAAGCGCTATCGTTCAATCTTCACATCCCATGTTCAAGTTTCAAGACGCCACAGGAGAGAAGCTAGACCTTATGGAGAACTAAGGTGCAGTCTTCGCTCTCCTTGAACCTGGCCGACACCGGGGCGGCGTCTTTGGCGCGCACAGCCTTCGAGTAGTAGTTGACGATCTTGCCGTCCAGTCTGTACTGATGCGGGATGCTCTCATAGGGCTTGAGGTCAAGGTCCAGCACAGACACGGAGAAGGCAAACCTGGACCGCGATGCAGGGACCACAGGCCTCTGATCAGAGCTGAAAATAAAAAGCAATGTCAGGCTCCCAGCCCTCTCCTGGCTCACAAAGAGCACCCATTCTTGCGCCTACATGCACCCCGTCTGTCCGTGGTGTGCACAGCGCTCAAAGCTTCTGCTGTGAGACCCGCTAGTGCCCAGGTAAGAAAGGGTTAATGTGTAGAAAGATGAAAAACAAATTACTAGGATATTTGTGACATTCCTCCTATCCCAGTGGTAGAAGCGAATGCTGGGCCAACTATTACGAAACCTAAGAAAGAGCAGGAGGATCTGGCCCCTCAACAGCCAAGTGGATGATAACGTGCTGGGAGCAGACGCCCTGTCCTTTCTGCTTGCTCACAGCTGCCTGCGGGTTTATTCTCGACTCAGTCTGCAGTGCTTTGTATTCTGTCTCTTAGTGCTTAGTTTTTCTAAATATCAGAAGTCACAGGCTGAACGCTCTGTGGACAATGACTTGTACTTGAAGACCCCGAGACTGAGTCTGAACTTTGTGCTCAGGCTGCTGTGGGGCGCGCTCAGGGCACAGTTGGCAGCAAGGTGACTGGCACGGGCGTGAGATGAGTTCATGCGGCTGCAGAGAGTCAGTCAGTCAGGAGCCGTGCTCTCCCCAGGCTGAGCCGCTAGCTAGAAATCATCAAAAAACAAGCAAACCTCTGAACCAGGAGGTCCTGGGCTGCGGGCTCGGTCCCCAGGAGGGCGTACAGGAGGCAGCCAATCAGTGATTCTTTCTCATCACTGATGTTGCAATCTCTCCCTCTCTGAAATCAATAAATAGATATTTTAAATATATATATATATTAAAAAATGATAAAAGTAGCACCTTAAAAAAAAAATTCAAACAAACAAAAACACCCATTTCGAAAGTTCTGCCAGAGCAGGAAGCAGCGAGCAGGCTCCTGGCAGACAATGCTGATAGGCCTGAACTCTGGCTCATTCCTACTCGAGACCCAGCTGACAGGACAGCGACCTGGGCTCCTGCAGGTTCTTAGCAAAACCTCCCCACCCCCCGCCTCCCCCGAAGAGCAGGGAACACGTCTGCACATCAAGGGCTTGCTTCCATCTCCTCCCCGGGTCTCAATCCCGAGCTCAGTGCAGCTGGGCCTGGACAGAACTACAGTTTCAAGGACACCTCCATTTCTCCCTTTAGAACCAGCACCAAAATGAGGTGAGCCCATCACCAGCTGCTGGGAGCATGGGAGCAGGGCCGCCTCATGAAAACTCAGACCCTTTGTAGGCCAGAAGGTCCCCAGGAGTCCAGGGCATGGCTCCTGACACCTAACCCTGGCCACCCTGGGCCAAGACTGGTGCCCATGTTTCAGAACTTTCTGGACACGTGACCTGGCTCCTGTCTGTGCGTTTTTATGAGGGGAATTTCTGTTCCCCGACTGTACCCTTGCGTCAGGCAGGTGGGAGAACGTAGCATCTCTGTGGTTTCCTCTCATGCAGCACCAGCTAATCCAGCCAATGGAGTCCTAGTAGCTAAGCACTGTGGCCTCTTCTTTGGGGATAGTGGTAGTTTTCAACCAAACAGAACCATCTTTTTCTGTATTTCAATTTTACCCTATAAATGTCCCTCCATGTTTCCTGATCAGGAAACGGACAGCTCAGTGCCTGTCCGGCAGCGGGCCTCCTGGGGATGTTAGGTCAAAAGCAGAAAACCTGGCGGCAGCCAGTGCCAGATGCCCCGGCCAGAACGAGGATGTTCCGCAGACACTGGGGGCTGGCGCCCCGAGAGAAATGCCAACGACACCATCTGTGACTAAGAAGGTTCGCAGGTTGATCCTGAATTCCTAAAAGAGGCCGGGAGGAGGCAGGGTGACGACGGGGTCTCAGGATGATGCTACAGATGGAAGTAGACTGCACCCCGCTTGCAGGTGTCACCTGACCAAGGCCAGACTACACCAGGGCAACAGCTCCTCAGGCCCCTGGCCATGGCAGCAGCAGGCTTCTTTGAGAGAAGGGAATTTGCACACAGAATCCAAACTGCTTCTAAGTCCTTAGAGTATTTTCTTAGAAAATGGTATAATAACCTTCAGTTTAATAGAACAATCTTTTAAAATTATTCTCCATGCCTTTTTATAGTGAATTACAACCTTCTGTGATCTCTAAATGTGGGAAAACCCTCTTCTCAATCCACAAAATCCCGTCTGGCCAGAGCGTCAGGCCCGGGCCCTCACCTGGCGTCCTGCAGGCAGGGGGAGAGCGCGATCATGATGGAGCAGTCCTTCGCCGTCATGGCCACCCGGTACTGCTGCACCTGCGGGCAAGGAGAGGTCAGCTGGCGCCTCCTCTGGGAGTCTGGGAACCAGCCCCGGAGCTTGGGGGGAGCAAGCTGCAGGGGTGACTGGAGGAGTGGCAGTGTGAAGGTGCACCTTGTTCTTCCCCTGAAATTTCAACAAGTTACCCAACTGTAAGTCAACCGAGAAACCCTGCTCAACACAGACACATGCCTGAGACCCGCCACCGAAACAGCTACAGGTGGTCAGCCGGGAGGCACGGGGAGGCCAGAGGGGAGGAAAGCCCAGGTGGCCCGGCTGGGAGAGGGAGGAACAGAGAGCTGCTGGGGGTGGGGAAGGGCAGCCAGCAGGGCGAGTGGCGAGGAAACAAACAGGGACAGAGTCAGCAGATGCCTGGCAGAGCAAGGCTTCTCCCTGCGGCTTCCCACTGTCGGGCCAGCAGTGGGGTGTCAGACAAAGAAACAGAACCAGAGCCCTGCCGCCGCTTGGACTCCACAAACTCGCCTCCCGTGGCCCTTGGCGCCGGGTCCAGGAGCATATGATCTGGAAGCCAAGAGCTACTGCAGTAGAACTGGTTTCCACCTGTGACTGCTTCCCAAGACGGGTACTTGGGGGGGGACCCCACGGAGGTCAGGGGTGGCCATTACAGTGAGGGCAAAACAAACCCTACCCCAAGCAGCAGATCGGTACCATCTTAGGGAAACCTCACAGGCTCACCTCCGGGAGACCAGAGGTAAAAAACCTTGCGATGCAGCGCCATCTGCTGGAAAAGAGTAGCAAGACCTCCGCAAACACCAGGGAGAACCACAGCAAGAGGGACGAGGAAGGAAGGAAGCAGCGGGCCCAGCCTGCCCTCGCCCCTCCAGCGGGGTGTGGACCCCGATTCCGAACCCGGGATTCGTCTTCAGCGAGGCAGCCACAGGCCTTAGAAGAAAGAGCGGTAGGTGGCCTCAGCGCCTGCTGTGCCGGCCACTGACATCCCTCCAGCCTCAGGAGGGAGTGCAGCGTCCCCCACGGGCAGCCTGGCAGCAGGACACGCCTCGGGCCCTCTCACCCCACAGGTTGTGCAGACCCCTGGCAGGATGCTGCAGACAGGGTCTCCAAGCTGCCCCACGGGAGGCAGGCTCGGGTCTTGGATGGATGCAGAGACAAGACCCGGCTGGGCGATGGCAGGGCCCTGCGACACCAGCCTCGGCTCTGCAGCTTAAGCTCAACACCGGCTGCAGCGCATGTGGATGTGTGCGAACCGGCCAGGAACGCACCTGCGGGGCTGCCACGCAGACCACACGCACGAGGTGGGCAGGGTCTGACTTGTAAAGCCGCGTGTGCTCACATGTGTTAAAGACACAGGGAGACCCCCAGAAAGGGCTGCCTCCAGGTGGACTTCGGGACATTCTGTCCCTTTTGAACTTTCCTATATCATTTGAATGTTTAGTTTGAATAGCTCTCACTTTTACAAAAATGAACTAGTTACAAAACATGAAGTGGGCCTTCCATGTTCTCACAGGCTGGTTTGTGGTGACAGACCTGCCCCGTTAGCCACTCCCTTGTCACTCACCCAGAGGACCCACCCTGAGAAACCTCCCCGGTCCACCTGCCCCAGCCAGGCTGTGCGGCACGCAGGCCTACTGACTGCCGGTCCGGGCCTGCGGAAACCTAGAGTTTACAAGTAGAATGAAAAAGGAGCTCCTCTCCTGACACTAGTCATTTCGCTAAGAAATGGGTATTTCACAAAGTACATAACAAATGATGTCCAAAGAATTCCTAAGAGATACGTATGAAAAACAAAATACAAAATATTTAGCATGTCTTGATCTGGAAGACATAAAACTCAGAAGCCATAAAACACTAAAAGATTTGAATACCTAAAAATTAAAATCTTTTATATGATCTAGTCATGATGAATGTAAAAGACCCGTGAAAGAATGGGAGAAAATATTTGCAACATATCAAGAATATAAAAAGTGCTACTTCAATATGGAAAAAGAAAACCTGAAAAAGACGTGGACCAAATAAACTGAAAAAGAAATATAGCCAAAAAATACCTGAAAACTTGTTAAACCTTATTAATAATCAAGGAAATGCAAATTAGAACAGTGAAACAGTTTTTACTCATCAGATGGACAAAACTATAAATATGTATGTACTAGGGGCCCAGTGCACGAAATTCGTGCACTTGGTGTGTGTGTGTGTGGGGGGGGAGTGTCCCTCAGCCCAGCCTGCCCTCTCTCACATACTGGGAGCCCTCAGGCGTTGACCCCCATCACCCTCCAATCGCAGGATCGGCCCCTTGCCTAGGCCTGACGCCTCTGAGAGAGGCGTCAGGCCTGGGCAGGGGACTCTCATTTCCCCCCATCACTGGTTCTGCCCCCAGCCCCCTCCGATTGCTGGCTCTGCCCCTTGCCCAGGCCTGATGCCTTGGCCAGAGGCGTAGACCCCCATCACCCTCCGATCACCTGATCGGCCC